AACACGTCTATACCAGAGATATCGAAAATTTGTGCTACCAATAAAAACAACTCATATGAGGTGACATAACTATAGAAATCAGATGTCGAAAGTGCTGTGTGATTACATTCATGTGATGATTATGAGTAATGCTGATTTCTGCTTGAAACATGATCATCAAGTAAATGTGACTATATCACTCATTGTGTGTTATAAATCAAATAAACAAATCTAATATGGAATATGAATAAATGTTGGTATTCAATGCGCCATGAACAATGAAGTATGCCATAATATTTAACACCAGTGAGTGTTTTAGTTGACCAACTGAAAAACTCTCCAGCTGTATGATTTATTCGATAACATTTCGAACACAATTCAGCGGAACTTGAAGGTTGCGGGTTCGATCCGTGGCGGGGCGGGGTTGTAGGTGCGCACTGTTGAGGAGTTCCATAGTAGGACGAAACAGCTCTGCAGTGCTCCCAGGTTTCCTTTATTCCGCCAACTGATGTCAGTCTACAATGAATAATACCTTGAAACAAATCATCCTTACTCACAACTCTGAGCCATGGTTAACATACTTAAACTGTTTCTTTCCTCGGTTCTTCCTCCTACTTTTAAGTGAAATAGGTGGTAGAATTCTTCATAAATCCGGAACATGTGGTAAATCACTTTTGTTGAACGTGTTTAGTATTGATTTGAATCACCACCTCAACTTTACATCATCTTATTACATATCTATTAAAGTGGGTTTGGTTAAATGTCCAAGTAACTGAATAAAAAAATCACGGAAAGGTACGGACTACAAATCAGATCCATTAAGCATACTTTACACTTCAACAATTAGCTATCCTCATTTTATGAATAAATTTATAAGAAACGTGAAGAAAAATGTGAACTGTGATGTTATCACAGAAATTGATAACAATAGTGACAGGAATGATGGTGGTACTACATATTTCCCATTCTAGGAAGGCACACCAGGAACGTTACGTGGATGACTCATAAAGCCGAGACCAAGCGATATTTAAATCCTGCAGACACGCTCAAAAACAAGCTTTATTTGTTAAAGTGTTCAACTGATCCAATTAGGCAAAAATAACTTTGTATATATTAAATCTCTTGGTAAAATGAATACGACAGATTATTTGATCGGTATCATTCAGGTTGTTTCAACACAAATCTAGCTAAGTCAACATTGATAGTTCTTGAATGAGTGACCGGTAAGTAAATCTTTGTTCATAGAATATGTGGTTATCTGTGCCTAAGTCATCTTCTGGATCAGATGTTACTTTTCAACCCATCGCTATAACTTCCACATTTTCTAAAAACAATGGAGAAATTCCTTCTCCTTGTGAATGAGCATTCATTGATGGTTTTCAGAGATCTAAAACAATTTGTTTACAAACGCCGGTGAAGTACTGTAGATATAGCCACTGCCTTGCATCATAATATTGTTTCTAGTCTAGAAAAAGGTGTAAAGTATTTTCTTTGTGCCTTTTCGGATTGATTACTCATCAGCCATTCATTCTGTTCCTAGATCACTCTTATTGAATAAGTTTGTCATAGCTCAGCCTGAGCCATGGGTTACAAAGTGGTTGTATTCTTATTTTTCTGAAAGGAAGTAGTAAACTATTCATAAAGGGAGGCGCTTCACTTCATAGCTTACTAAAGCTGATGTGCCTCATGGTGCTATACTTTCTCCATTTCTCTTCTCGTTCTTTTTCCACGATTTACCTTATTCTCTTGGAACTAATTTTACTAAGTATGCTGATGATCTGACGGTGTTTATTCCAGTTCACGCACACTTAGATTATTCTGAATCAAATGAATTCTTGTCTGTGGTTGACGAATAGTCTCCCTTAAATGATCTCAAGTTGAACCCTTCTAAATGTCAGACTGTTAATTTTACCCTTATATGAATTGCTTAAACCCTATGAAGCCTGTTGTATTGATGATATTTCTGCAGAAAGCAAATCGAGTGTTAACTATCTCGGATCGAGATTTACTTCTCATCCTTGTTGATCGTCTCATATCTATTTGACTTGTAAAAAAAAATCTTTCGTTTAACTTATTACATAAAGAAACTGAGGTTGTCTTGTATAACTCAACTTCCACTTTTGTAATTTATTAATTCCTACATTTTACATATTCTTCTCTATTGTACCCCATCAACTTTTCCTGGTCTTCTAAAGAAGGACTATGTTATATTGCGTAGGGCTTTGAAAGCAGTCAACGAGTAGGGTGAGTGGTGTGCCTCTAGTTCAACTGATTAAAACACTAGTTGACAGACATTTAAATTCTAGCAAGCAATTAGCTACAGTAATTTTAACTGACCCTCAGCATCCACTTGATTCACTGGTCTCTCCTTGTATCTTCTGTTAGGGAAGAAAAGGAGAAATTAAATATGACTGTAAGCTCGTACAGCTAAGTATAAGAACTCGACTGTACCCCTTACCTAGCACGCATATTATGTGAGGAGAAACGTGTGTTAGAACGCAACTCACATATCAACCTTGTAACAGTTGACAATCTCATTTCAATAATTCAATTAATGATGTAAAATGTTCTCGTTATTATTGTTATTATTATTATTATTATTATTATTAGGAATCACCCATGATATTCCTGATTGTGGTGGACTGGATCATGCAGCAAACAGTGAGGAGCGAGAAGAGGGGGATACGCTGGCTGGACTGCGGAAAAGAACCCAGAAAACTTGAATTTCGCCAACGATGACTTGTGTCTGATGTCACATAAACTTGAAGATCTACAGGCAAAAACTAACAAGTTGTCAGAAGAGGCAGCGAAAACGAGACAGAGGCGATGAAGATACAGCACCAACAACAACAAAAACAACAAACTCCAATCACCATCAACGGAAGAAACTTCAAGGAAGTAACCTCCTTCACCTATCTAGGCAGGCGGCACTGTTTCAACTACAGGCGACACAGGCACAGACAAGGATGTCAAAATCAGAATCGGAAGAGCAAGACAGGCGTTCATTAGCCTGAAATCAGTGTGGAGATCTTCTGCACTCAGCATGCGGAACAAGATCCGGATTTTCAACACCAAAGTCAGTCAAGTCAGTGCTTCTGTATGACTCAGGGACTTGGCGCGTCACGAAGGGGATTTCCAATAAACTACAGACATTCATCAACAACTGCTTACGCTCGCTACTGAATGATGAGAATAAGCAACAAGGAGCTGTGGGAACGAACCAACCAAGAACCTATCACTCAACAAATATGCAGTGGAAGGAAGTGGAGATGGATTGGGCATACACTGAGAAGGCCGACTGGGGACATCACGCGTCACGCCAGTCACTCGAGTGGAATCCCCATGGGAAGCGATGAGTTAGACGTCCGTGGCGACAGTGACATGGAGGAGGTCGTGCGAGGAGGAAATGAGAGCTTGTGGGCTGTCGTGGAACCAGGTTCAAAAGATCTCAGAGAACAGAGTTCAATGAAGACGTGCTACTGAAGCCCTATGTTCCACTAGGAACCCAAGGGACTAATAATAATAATAATAATAATTAGGAATCACAGAGTATCTATTCCAAATAAGTGGCAACTGCTATTTATATCTCTGGGGAAAAAGTGAGAGAATTGGGACTTTCTTAATCATATCTTAAAGTTGTAGGGCTATCTTGATATGAGTATAGACAGTAAATTGTATCTGAAACGTCATCGAGCAAAATTATAGTCAGTGTATCCCTGTGCGATACATCCAATAGACGAACTGTGATGGAATTATATTCTTCAACTTGGTATAAGTTTTACTCCTTTATTGCTGAAACGTTATCTTGCTTGAGTGTTTCCTGTTAAGCTTGGATTATACAAATAAAGAAATAGCTCGTTAACATATCATCATCTCAAAATATCCTCTTCCAGGAACTTTGAGAGAAATCCTGGCCGGCTTACAGCATTCGATTTGTCTTACCGGTGATGTGTACATTCCATCTGGATGAAGATGTTTACTTACTAACTTATAGCGCATACTAATTGTATTGATAATAATAATAATCACTTTATTCCGAACAATATATATGACAGTATAGAATTCTAAGCATGTAATTTTTCAACAAATTCACTCCCAGAACAAGAATACTTTCAGACGAAATAGTTATTGACTCTGCATGTTAATCATAGTAACAGTATTCAAGGCAGTAATATGAAATAGCCAGCTGGTTCTAGATAGGCATCTGGTCAACAATGAAGAATCAACAGACATCCAAGCATAATTTTGTTGATGGTGATTCATTCAGACAGTAGAAATATCTGCAACTTAAGCTAAACATCTGAAGGATAAAAATATGATGTATTTTTGTGCACCAAAAAATTCATTTCCATATAATGTAACCATTTTTCTCTGCTTTGTTATTAACTCGAGAAACGAAGAGTTGAAAACAGTTTAAAAATGTGCCAGAGTACATTCAAAGGGAATATTTAAATGATTAAAACAAATTGAATGAATAATGTTCAATGGATAAATTTTGAAATGATGGAGAATATTTGTAGCTCAGATGGATGGTCTTGGTTGTATTGTGTTCTCTTAGTTGGATTGTTTAATCGTGGATGGATAAATTCGGTAGCCCAAAGTTCAAGTTTATGATATTACCCGATTTTCCAGGTCAAAATAGAGGAATAGTGATTGAAAACCAGGATCTATTGCTTAAATCAATAGACTACACCTTTACTAGTGAGAATCTATACCCAACATCATTTATTGAATGTGAAGTAACCAGATATATTTATCACTTCAGTGATTAATTGCATTCTAATTCTTCAGATCTCTAGCTTGTTTGAAAACATTAGAGGAGATAATAATCAGTTTTATACTTCTAAGAAGACAGTTTATTTTATAATCTAATCGTTCTTCACTCGATTCCCTATGAAGGCGAAGATATATGCAGCTGAGGAGTTCAAAGTAGGCCGAAACACCTATCTAGTTCTTTCAAAGTTTGAATGTTTCATCAACTCATGTTAATTTTCATAAATTTTGTTTACATTCTATTTTAGATAATGCAAAACATTTCATTGTCAGTCCAATCATCTTATCAACTTCAGATAAGATAGATTATGACAATATTGAAGACAATTTATACTTAGGAGGTTTTTCATGGGATCTAATATTTAGATGGCATCATGTGAATGAGGTAGGAACAGTTATATCACCATCATTTGAACAACATGAAACTGATGCATATCGTTTAATTCAACCGAGACCAACACCTGCATTAGCCGGTGGTATATTTGCTGTATGGAGAGATGATTTTTTTTATTATGGTGGTTATGATGAAGAAATGATTATATGGGGTGGAGAGAATATTGAGTTATCACTACGGACATGGATGTGTCATGGACAAATTGAAATTATACCATGTAGTCGTGTTGGTCATTTATTTCGTGATCAACATCCATACACATTTCCCATGGGTAAAGAGTTCACTATTCTACATAATTATAAGCGTACTGTACTTGTCTGGTTCTTACATGAAATAAATTCAACACTTGCAAGAGAATATCTAGGTTATTTCTATACAAGATTACCAGAAGCAAAGATGATTCCAGCTGGAGATTTAAAATCACGTAAATTGATTCCAACTACTTTAAATTGTCATAGTTTCACCTGGTACCTAGAGAATATCTATCCTTTACTGAGACAAGAAGCTAAATCAATTCATATTAGTCAGGATACATACTTTGTAACAGCATTCGACAGTACATGAATCCTCGTGACTAGTTCAAGTGAAATCTACTAGGAATAATGTTATACTCTTTGATGATGGCAGTTCAATAAATTTCTGACAAAAACATTAGAACACTAAGATGGCCTTAACAAAGCTATTTTCAACCTAGAAAAGATTATTTTACTCCTTTTATATAATTTTATGTGAATGAAATATTTCTGACTTGTTTTAATTTACTCTTTAGTACAATTGTATAAAGTGATTTGAATAAAAAATATATTTGTTCATACAGTTTTCGGGGAATTATCTGTGGGTTTTTTTCATCTACCATCTCTTCGTTTACTTTATACTATGACATTTTACATTATGATAGCACCTTCGTAAAGATTCCACTACCAGAAGGTTAGTTGAATGTACACAGAATAGGCAAGTTTCACACTTTTGCTACTCATCAACAACATGTAACTGTCTATCACAATAACATCCAAACCTGAAAATGTACGATTGTAAAATCTACGAAATATCTAGATTATGGAATATTTTAAACACTGGTCCTCTTTGATAAAGTTGAATAATGCTATGCAAATAGTACTTGCAGAATTAAAATGTACTCACCTGATTTCGTAGGATTTTCATCAGTTGCACACACTCAGGTTAAAGAGGGAATTAATCACTTGTATAAAACAGCAAGCTAGTGGATAACGCTTTGTCGTATGAATCGATCGGTACGTGATGCGAACCTCATTGGAATCACGATCACTCGATAAGGTGTGAGCGCATCTGTCTGATGAGTCAAAAGTGGAATGGGATATATATTCTACATCCAGATGCTATACATCGAAATTCAACTTATATCATAGCCAGTATTCAGGTAATATCGAGGTATAAATGAAGGAGTTCATGTACCAACAGAAACCAGGCAATACGGCAGTAATGAAAAAGTAAATGTTTCGGTTTAATCACTTAATTTATTCCAGTCCTGATCTTCATAGCCCTACTATCAAAAGGAGGCATACCACAAATCTAACATGTGACTTACAATCAGATCGAGATGATACTTTAGATCTGTAAACTCACTCAAATTCTAAGCAGTTACTCTAAAGTTAGTTGTACGCGTCAGACTAATTGATTTACTGTCATCCAAGTTAGGATAACAAAGAGGGTTAGCAAAATGAAAGATGTAGTAGAGCTTATCAAGATAAGAAATTCAGAAAAGAGTTTAAACATAACCAGCCATACATGCAGTCGCATATACAATCCTGCAATAGAGTGGTGGGATAGATTGACAACTTGAGTATTTGCAGAGAGAGTGTGATAATTTTATTTTCCGAATCAAGACGTAAAACATGTAATAGAAATGCCACAATACCAATTCCAGACGCTTACGAAATCACACTATCAACACGCTCAAAGAAGGAAGAAGCAAAAGAGCTCTAAAACGATGCCAACAACTTGTATGAAAACTTTGATATGACTGATAATGAGCAATAGTTGTGTCCCACAAACCCACTTATGGTTTGATGAGGAACAATAACTATTGAACATGATTTATGTGATTGTGATGAAGAGATTACAGGTGTTAACAGAAAACAAGACCCTTCATTGACCAAAACATCCAATTAAAGTACACCAGTTACTTTCACCTATAGTTAACTTCTAATAAAAACGAAGTGTTACACACATGCCACATCTCAGAGCTTTTGAGCGAAACAAGAATTCTCTTTCATAGTTCTAGATTTCTAGGTGACATTTCAGTAATGATATCAACTTGTGACTGAAAACCGTATTGAAGGTTCTTCCATCTCCAAGCATTTTTTGTGGGCGTACAGACACTAGCTAAATCGAACCACTTGATGTAATTGAATTGACAGTTTATTTCATTATTGTTATTATCTGTCCCCTGGGTTCCTAGTGGAACATAGGGATTCAGTAGCATGTCAACATTTCACTCTCTTCTCTGCAGTCACCTTAACCTGGCTCCATGACTGCTCATAAACTTTCATTTCTTCCTCACACCATCTCCTCCATGTCACCCTAGCCTGATCTGTCACGTGACGCCCCAAAACAGTCGTCCTAGAGTATGTCTAATCCAATTCATCTCCACTTTCTTCTTCAGCATGTTCGTTGGGTGATGGGTTGTTGGTTGGTTCGTTGCCAGGCCAGAGTGAATTCCTCATTGCTTATTCTTTTCGGCCTTCTCATCCCATCGGATATTCAGTATCGAGTAAGCGAGGGAGCGTAGGCAGCAGCTATTCATCATGTATCTGTGCAGTTTGTTGTAAATGCTTTTCGAACCGCTTCAAGTCTCTCAATCATCACATAGCAGCACTGACTTGACTAACATTATTGTTGAAAATCTTGACCTTGTTCACGCTTTGTTCTGAGTGCACTGGAGTGGAGTGATTTCAGATTAATCAAGAACTGTCTTGCTGAGTTTCCGATCCTGCATATAACATCCTCATCTATGCTGCCTTGTGTAGTTGAGACGATGCTGCCTAGGTAGGTAGGAGGGTGAGAGAGATAACTTCGTTTACACTTCTCCCGTTCATGGTGATTGGTGCTTGTTGTTGTTGTTGGTTGGGTATCTTCATCACTTCTATCTTCTCTATGTTCACTTGAAGGAAGTCACGCCTTACTTCACTGCCTCTCCTCACCTCTTTAGTCAACCTGTTCGTTTTCAACTGTAGGTGTTCGAGCTTGTGCAACATTAGACATATATCATCTTTGATGAAATCCAAATATTCTAGGGCCACTGAAAAAATAAAAAGATGCGTATTAAACAACGAAATTGTTTTGCATAATAACTGTCCATCTAACCATATCATAACAGAACAGTTTCATCTTTACGCTTTATAGAGTTGATTAGTATAAAGCAATTTATGTTTTACCGCATGTATAATTCACATGAAAAAGACAAGTGGATCTGACTATTTAGTTAATGGTCATTATGTCTGTCCATCTCTTCTCATCTTTCGTCTCTCCTCTCTAATTGAAGGTGGATATACTAGATATGAAGCTCTATATTCAATAATTCTATGTACTTAGTTGTTAGGCTTAAAGAGGAACAAGCGAAATTTGTGCAATCGATGGCTTACTAGACCCTAGACCATCTCTGTTTCACTGTTTCTCCTTAAATTATACTCGTAAAAGTTAATCTAAGCACCAGCCATTTCATATTTCACAAACAGTCAAAACCTATCCGGTTTCAAAGGAAACATCGTTTGCTGAATGGGTGAGTGATACAGCCTATCACATAACACACTTGTGTAAATAATTCGTTATAATTTAAAGAGTACTGGACAACTATGTTCTCTCCAAATGTGATGCTCCTCAGCTGTTTGCACCAGTAACCTCATCAGTGATCGAAACTGACACATTCAGGTTTCGAAGAGATCAGACTACCATTTAGCTGCAAGCATCGAATCAGGTGGTCTACAATTTTCTGCTTCTTTAAGTTCGTGATATGGTTCGACCTCCATTCGATGGCTACGTTGAGTAACTATTCTCATGTCCAACTTGGTTCCCTCGACCTACTGCTCACGACATCTCACTAGAACTTCGAGAATCTGATCTCGATCTGACTATCGTGACAATTTATTTATTTATTTTGAGTTGGTATTCATCACAGAGTGATACCAGTTGGGCAACCATTGTTCATAGAGGATGACGAATGAAGGTAAATCGAAAATCTACATTGGACCAGATGCCTGGGCCTACCTGTTTCACACAACTAACCCTGCTGTGAACCAGGTTTATATTTCACTTTAAATCACTGCATCAAATCAACGAAATCAGTCTGTCAGATCATAGTTATATCAAGCAGTGCCACTGATAATCATCTTTCCTTGGGAAACCATATGAAAGCTAAAAAAGGATTGCCAATATGAAAGCAAACTAGCATAAAATTTGCATCGTTACACTTTAGCTAAGTAAACTTTCGCCTTGAATTGAATATTGTGGGCATACACTCTTGGATTGTGGGTTACAGGCTTTTGGCATGAAGCCAGACTGCATACACGTTTATGCTTATTGGCACTCTTCAGATGCAACCATGAGGAAACTGATAAGATTATAATCCGTGTCATTCAGTGTTGCAGTCAGCCCGTCATCACTCACCTAGACAACATGAAGTCAGTTGCTCTCTAGTCACAAATCATCGTTTCGAATTCAGTCCAAGATATGGTTAGTTGCCACCTGAATAACTCGGTGGTAAAGTCGAGGACTGCAACAGGGTGTGATGTGGGGTCCAAGTTTCATGTGAGACTTCTGTTCCATGTGCGTTACTGGCGAATGTCAACAAGCAAATAGGAACAGGCTTCATGCCAACTATCTGCAACCACCTAACAACTATCAAAGTGTATGACGACAGTCAACCTCCCAGTTTGATGGTCATGCAGTGAAACGATCAATAGAATGGGATCAGCACTCAGAACTAAACAACATGAAATTGGTTGTTGTCCACTGGCCAATCTCTGTAACATTCTCCGTTCAACTGTTCAATGATTGGATGGTGATTTATATTGTAATAGGGTATCTTATCCATCCACTGTTTGATTAGTTAGACGTGATTGTATTGATGACTTTGCTAATCAATGAAGGTTACCTTAGTGATATTCCACACTTGAACTCATCAGAAACTAATCAAAAACTTTTCAGGCCTAGGTAAAGAAACATAAACAAGAAACTGGGAGGATATTCAGAGTGGATAAATGTTTTTATGAAGAAGCACATGGACTAGCGATTACTGAATAGCCAGTTTGGCTTTCAAGTGCTTAGTACTGAGTACTCACCGTGGTCTATCGATCAGGTTATGGAATGTGGTCACTAAGATAGTTGTTACACCAATATAGTACGTGGCATTTTTGATGTTAGATAATGGGAGTCAGTCAAGTGGAAGTCCTGCTTGATATAGATTTCTTGTTAGTTGACATTCATCGACATGGCGTATCTGTGGGCATGACGAAACTGATGTTCGTTGGTGATTTGAACCTTGATAGATTAATACTGACTAGTGCTGAGTACTGACGACTAGAAAGGCACAATTGTTATGTGGTTGTGATGGGTTGGCTCATGTAATCCATTCTACAGGGGATTCGTCGCCATCTGAACTGCTTAGTACTAAGGTCTACCTAACGAGATTGGATCACAATCAAAAATACGGTTTCGTGATAAAAAGTAGTTTGATCAGGGATTCACGCCAATTTACTATGAGCAACTTACATCCACGATGGAGCACATGAATTGCTTACATTTATGTCTCCCATAGAAACAAACAAAC